CGCTCCCTCGCATGCTGTGCAACCAGGCAGCAGGCAGGCTACAGCAGCGGCGCCAGCGGGTTTCTCCTGGCTGCTGCCGAGCAAGCTGTTGCACGTGGCATGCTCTGCACGCACACACACACACGCGCGCGCGTGCACGTGTGTGGAACCAGCCAGCCGGCGGCGGGCTCCTCATCCCTGGGCCCCTCCCCTCCGCCTCCCATCGAGCTCGGCTGCCAAACCCACCTCTCCCCAACCCCTGCATGCACCCTGCCCCTACCTGTGCCCCAGCCCTCCCTCCACCCCGACTTCTCCACCAGCCCCGCCTGCACTCAACACCTCAGATCTGCCCCCCGCCCTCTCCACCTGCCCCCTCCTCTAAACATGTGTCTGCCCCTCCGCCCTCCTGTTCCATCCCCTCCCCACCTGCCTCCCCCCGCAGAGCTGGGAATCTACCCGGCGGTCGACCCGCTGGACTCGACCTCCCGCATGCTCAACCCGCGCATCCTGGGCGACGAGCACTACGGAGGTACGCGTACCACCGGTACCGCATGTACTGCAGTTTTCATTGCTGTGCCTGGCATCGCGTGCACGGCACGCCAGGCTGGACGGGCATGCGGCGGCAGAAGTAGCGGCAGCGCGGGGGCGGCAAGCAGCCGGCAGCGGCAGCCGCGCCCCGGCGGAGCGGCGCGTGTGCGACCTCCCACCTGTTTTTCACCGCTGGCCTCCTCCCCACTGGCCGCTCGACACCGACGCGCCTCCCCCCGCCCTGCCCTGCCCTTTCCCTCCCCGCCCGCTGCCCTGCAGTGGCGCGTGGCGTGCAGAAGGTGCTGCAGGACTACCGCAACCTGCAGGTGAGTGAGGCAGCACAGACACGCATGCACGCACCCGCGCGCATGCACATGCACACACACATGCACACACACACGCACGCACACGTGTGCGCACACACACACACACACACACATGCACGCACACACACGTGCACGTTTCCCTGCCCCTGCCACGCGTTGCCCCGCCCCTGCCACACACACCCCTGCCACGCACACACGCATCGCCCCGCCGCTCCCGCACACTTGCCCGCCCACCAGTGCCGCCTGAGTGTCTCGCTTTCTTGTCCTGCTTTCCTGCTTTTCTCCGCAGGACATCATCGCCATCCTGGGCATGGATGAGCTCAGCGAGGAGGACAAGATGACGGTGCGGCCGCTGCTGCTGCTGCTGCGCGCATGAGCTGCCTGCGTGGTTGTGGGTCTTTGTAGGGTGGTGTGTGGCGGGCTGGCGTGTGGTGTGTAGTGTAGGGCTCGGCACCCGGCACGCACACCCACGCACCTGGCGCTCTGCTGGGCGGCGAGGCTGCCCCCGCAGCGATGACGTGCGGCGTGTGATGGCCTGCCATTCTCCCTCGCGTACCCGACCCCTGTCCCTCCTCTCTGGTGCCCTCCTGCCTCGCCGTACCCAGCCCCCGCCCCGCTTTGCCCCGCCCCGCCATCTGCCGCAGGTGGCGCGCGCCCGCAAGATCCAGCGTTTCCTCTCCCAGCCCTTCGCCGTGGCGGAGGTGTTCACCGGCACGCCTGGTGAGGCGGGCGGCTGCAGGGGCAGGGGGCAGGAGCAGCAGGGGGAGGGAGGAGGGGGGGATGGGGGAGGCTGAGCAGCCTGCTGGCAGGAGTGGGCGGCCTCGCAGCGGAGGGGTTGCGCCGTCCGTGCAGCAGCCTGCAGCAGGGGGCTGCCAGCAGCCGCCGAGGCGCCTGCCCGCCTGCTCCCGGCCTGCACCGCTTGGCCTGGTGGCGCCCTTACCGCCTCTTGCCACCCGCACCGCCCGTACCGCCTCTGACAGCCTTCTGACCTCCTTGTACCGCCCGTACCGCCACCCCCGTACCGCAGGCAAGTACGTGGAGCTGAAGGACACGATTGCCGACTTCAAGGGCGTGCTGGACGGCAAGTACGACGACCTGCCCGAGATGGCCTTCTACATGGTGGGGAAGCCGGCGGGAAGCCGGCGGGAAGCCGGCGGGAAGCTGGGCGGTGCATGCATGCACCTGGGGCGGCGCCGAGGCGGCAGGCGGGCCGTGCACCGCGGTTGCGATCGCGCCCGGGGGCGGCCCGGAGCGGGCGCTGGGGGCGCAGCTGCACGCCAGGCCTCTCCGCCGCTGCTCCCTCCCCACCTCCCTCCTGCCCCCAGCCTTCTCGCCAGGCTCCGAACCGCCGCGCCTCCCGCCCTGCCTCCCCCTCCCACCGCAGAACGGCGACATCAAGGAGGTGATGGACAAGGCCGACCGGATGGCGGCGGAGATTGCGGGCAAGTAGGCGGCGCGGCTGGCCACGCTGAGCACGCTGGGCACGCTGCGGTCGGCCAGCCCGCCAGGCAGCCCCAAGGGCCCGCCCCCGAGAGCTTTCCACCTCGCGCTCGCGGCGCTCCTCCTAGGCCGGGGCGCCCTCCGTGGCAGGCCGCGGCAGCAGGCCACCAATTCGCTGACGCGTGTTGCTTCTGTTTCCACACTTGTCTGCGCGAGCGGGGCGCGCCGCCCGGCTGTCTAGGCACCCGGCGCGGCCCCCCCCCCCCCCCACCCCTTCCAGTCCTCTCTTTCTTTTCAGCGCAAGTCCGGGCCACTGATGCGCAGCTGATGCCGCGCGGGGATGCTTGCAAGAACGCAGCCTGGCAGCAGAGCTGCCTGCCTTTGTGTAAGCTTTACACCAACACACCAGTGCTACCCAGCACACCTCTCAGGCATACGCCGGCTATGGAAGGAAAGCGAGGGCATGGTGACGACGATAGTGTCCCCTCTCCCCTGCTCTTCCTTCTTCCTTCTGAGGTCGGGCGGAGAGAGGTAGTTAGACGGCGGTGGCGGGAGAGCGGGCGGGCAGCACGTTCGTAGCGGCCTGCCGTGGTCCACAGCCCACCCCTCCTGGCAAGCTAACGCCAGCTGGCCGCACGTCTAGGCCTCCAGAGGCTTCGGCTGGGCAGCAGCAGCAGCAGCAGCGGCGGCCCGCAGGCGCCGACACTCTGGCTTATGCGCTCGCCAATGCGCGTGGCTGCAGGCCTCGCTGCAGTACCTTACACCCTTGCACCTGCAGGGCAGGAGGCAGGAAGGGCAGGGCAAGCAAAGCAGTGAGCCAGGCAGAAAGGCTGCGAGCCACCCCGAGAGGCGGCATTGGGGATGCCAGAAAGCCAATCTGCTGCCGCGCTTCGGGGCACCACTCACGCAGAACAGCGCTTCAGGTGATGCGTGTTGCCGCAGCCGTCTGCTGCACACACCCTGGCAGCAGGCGCTGTTGCTGCCGGAGCAGCCGAAGCCGCTGCCTCTGCTGCAACCACTGCAGCCGCTGCGTCCCCTGCTGCAGGTGCCGTGATCCCTTGTGCTGCGCCTTCAGCATTCAGCGCGGCAGCTCTGGCCTGCCCGCTGTGGGACAGGCTGCACAGTGTAGCAGCTGCAGAGTCCCGCCACACTCGCTTGGACTGCTGCTGTGCAGCTGCTGCAGAGCAGCAATGCCACCTGCGGCCGCAATGGCCGCACTGCTCTCGGGGCTGTCCCAAGAGAGGCAGCCAAGCGCACCGGCGGCTGCCACCTGCACCTCCTCGCTGCCGCTGCTGCGCAGGAGCTGCACCATCAGAGGGATGGCTCCGGCCGCGCCGATGGCTGCCCTGCCGGCACTGCTGCACGTGGCAATGCTCCCAAGCGACATGGCTATAGCTAGCTGCATGTCCTCGCTGCATCCACTGCGCAGGTGCTGCACCAGCAGAGGGATGACGCCGGAAGCCGTAGCGGCCACCCCGAGCTCAGGGTTTTGAATGAGGTTCGCAAGCGCCGCAATTACTTGCGTCTGCACCCTGTCGCTGCTACGGCTGACACGCAGGTGCTGCACCAGACCTGTGATGCCAACGGCCATTGCGAAAGTTGCGTTGTTCCCAGGACTGTCGACAGTAAGTTTGCGCAGCAGCAAGGCTGCGGCCTCCAGCAAATCGTCACTAGCATCGCTACTGCTGATCAGCTGAACCAGAGCTTGAATGTCGCCGCCCGCTATGATGGCTGCCAGGTGGTCATCGCTATCACAAGAGAGGTCAAGCAGCGTCCTGGCAGCCTGCAGTGCCTGATGATCGCTGCCACTGTGCAGGCGCCCCAGCAGAGATGAGATGTAGCTGGCTGAAGCCATCTGGGAGCGTGCAGAAGCTGGTGCAACTGCACGCGGTGGGCTGCAGCCGCTGCGGCAGGCGGGCGGGCGGCGGGACAAGAGTGTGCGGAGGTTTGGGCGGGCATGCGGCGTGCAGCGACCAATGTGCCCTCCACGGCATGTGGAAGGAGCGAGCGACCGCTGTTCAGAAACCCACGCCGCATCGCACCCACCGTGTGGCACGATAAGCAGCCTGCTAACGCGTGAGCAACACCGGAGCTGCGCTCAATGACGGAGGAAGTCTGCGGAGGCGGAAGGGGGTATCTGCGCTTGATGGCGAGGGGATGTAGCCATAGCGTGCACGCCGTGCCGCGGCGGCCGCCTGCCGCCCGTCTGCGCTTGGCAAGCGATGCAGCAGCAGCACCCAACAGCTTCTCGCTGATTAGGTGCAGCATATGGTGGGTCGGTGCTATGCTTGGCTGGCTGGGCGGTTACGATAGGGAGCCACTGACAAACTGGGAGAGAGTAGGGGCAGGTTGGCACCCTGCCCGACGGGGTCCCTTTCTTCCCTGACGCTCCTTTCTGTTCCGTCTCGTGCTGTGGCTGGTGTGCATTTCAGTGGCATGCAAGGCAGATCGAAAAACACACAGGTGTCAGCCGCAAGTGCGGTACTCCCCCGCTCCAGTGAGTTGGTGCCTGTTGCCGGAGGTTTGTGAGCTGGCGCCACATAGCCGCGCACCCCTGTGCTGGAGCTAGGGCTGGGAAGCAGCAGCTGCAGCTGCCGCGGCGCGCAGGCGCCGGCATTCTGGCTTGTGCGTGCGCCAGTGCGCGTGGCTGCAGGCCTCGCTGCAGTACCTCACACCCCGGCACCTGCGGGCAGGAGGCAGGTAGGGCAGGGCAGGTAAGCGAAGCAGTGAGCCAGGCAGACAGGCTGGATGCCATCCCAGGGCCAGCTTAATGCACTGGCAAGCCAAATTGTTGCCGTAATTCAAGCGACCACTCACGCAGAACAGAGCTTCAAGCGATGTGTGCTGCCGCAGCCGTCTGCTGCGCACACACTGGCAACATGTGGTGGTGCGGAAGCCGGCACCGCTGCATCTGCTGCAACCACTGGAGCTGCCTCTGCTGCGGGTGCTGCTTCTGCTGCTGGGGGGTCAGCGCTTCCGTGTGCCTCTTGTGCAGTGCCTTTAGCATTCAGCACCACAGCTCCGGCCTGCTCGCTGTTGGACAGGTTGTGCAGTGCAGCAGCAGCTTCCTCCCGCTCCTCCACGCTTGGGCTGCTGCTGTGCAGCTGCTGCAAAGCAGCGATGCCGCCTGCTGCTGCGATGGCCGAGCTGCTGTCGGGGCCGTCACAAGAGAGGCAGCCAAGCAATTCGACTGCAACCAACTGCACCTGCTCGCTGGCGGTGTTGCGCAGGAGCTGCACCAATGCAGGGATGGCGCCGGCCGCTCCGATTGCTGCCTGGTTGCCAGGGCTGTCCAAAGAAAGGTGGCCAAGCGCATAGGTCGCTACCTCCTGCACCTGCTCGCTGGCGGCGCGCAGGAGCTGCACCAGCAGAGGGATGGCGCCGGCCGCGCCGATGGCAGCCCTGTTGCCAGGGCTGTCCACAGAGAGGCAGCCAAGCGCGCTGGCTGAAACCAACTGCACCTGCTCGCTGGTGCTGCTGCGCAGGAGCTGCACCAGCAGAGGGATGGCGCCGGCCGCAACAATTGCTGCACTGTTGCCAGGCCTATCCTCACAGAGGCAGCCAAGCGCACCGGCTGCAACCAACTGCACCTGCTCGCTGGCGGGGCTGCGCAGGAGCTGCACCAGCAGAGGGATGACGCCGGCTGCGCCAATGGTTGCTGTGTTGCCAGGGCTGTGAAGGGCAAGTTCAAAAAGTGCACGAGTTGCTGTTGACTGCATCTCCTCACTGCCGCTACTGCGCAGGAGCTGCACCAGCAGAGGGATGGCGCCGGCTGCGCCGATTGCTGCCCTGTTGCCAGGGCTGTCCCGAGAGAGGCGGCCAAGCGCTTGGGCTGCTGCAAACTGCACCTGTTCACTGGCAGTGCTGCGCAGGAGCTGCACCAGCGCCGGAATGCCGCCGGCCGCTACGATGGCTGCCCGGTTGTCATCGCTGTCGGCAGAGAGGTCAACCAGCGTCCTGGCAGCCTGCAGTTCCTGATGCTCGCCGCCGCTGCGCAGGCGCCTCAGCAGCGCCGAGATGTAGGTGGAGGAAGCCATCTGGGAGCGTGGAGAACCCCTGGTGCTGAACCCCGGTGTCCCGCTGCGGCAGGCGGGCGGGCGGTGGATTGTGAGTCTGCGGAGGTTTGGCGGCAGCGGCGTGCGGCGGACCACTGTACCCGCCACGGCATGTGGAAGGAGCGAGCGACAGCTGTTCAGCACCCCAAGCCACATCGCACCCACCGTGTGGCACAATCAGCACCCTGCTGGTTTGGTGATCGACACCGGAGCTGCTTGGCGGACAGAGGACGGGTTTCGGGGCAAAAAAAACGGCTTTCTGCGCGTTGTAGCGACGGCATGTGGCCATAGCGCGCCCGCCATGCCGCCCCGCCACGGTCCGCCCGTCTGCAAAGGCCAAGTGGCCACTGACCGCCGCCTCCTTTGCAAAAAATGCCTTATCTTTCTTTCATGTAATCATTATGTGTTATGGATTGCCTGTTACAGTGCTATCATGTTGTCTGCGTCTTACTCCGCAAGGCCGCCCACCTGCCCACCGCCACGACCAACAGACCATGTGGTGCAGAGCTGCAAGGAAGTTAAGCGGGGGACTTGCTCTGTGAGCTGGTAGGGCACACCGCCGCAGCAGCTTCTCGCCCACACACACCGCCACAATCCTGCAGGAGAGGCGCCTCGCTGGCAGCACCGTTGGAGGCGCAGGCGCCGCTCCTCACCCCCTATTGCTCTGGGCACGATGCCCTCCCCCAACCTGCCCTCTCTGCTGTCCTGTGTTTGCAGGGCCAAGCAGTTCAAAGCAGCGAGACAAAACCAAGGTGCAGGCATGGCGTCGTTGGGTCTACCTATTCACATTGAAAAAGAAGGCGGCTGTGGTAGGCGCCGCACCCCAGGGGTGATCACGCGCGCTGGCGACCGCTGTGCCGCGGTGCGCAGGGCGTGAAGGGGGTGGCATCGGCACTCATGCCAGTGCTGCTCACCAGCGCCAGGGCCGCCTGGTTGGGCTGCGGCGCCAGCGCAGCATCCACCACCACTCTGGCCGCGTCGATCGCGGCCGGCATCGTCTTGGCGCGGCGCGGCCCCTCCAGGTCCAGCTCGCCGCCGCCGCTGCCAGAGGCAGGCGGCGCAGCAGCAGCAGCAGCAGCAGCAGCAGCAGCCTGCGGGCGGCGGCGCAGGCGTGGCACGCTCCCATCAGCACACACGTGCGAGCGGCGGTCGGCACGCGGGCTGAGCAGGCACCGGTGCCTCCCCAGCCGCACACCAGCCGCACACCTGCGCTGCCTGGTGCTCCCGCCTGCGCTTGGAGGCGGTCTTCACCGCCGTCTCTACCTCAATGTACTGCAGGAGCAAAGCAGGGGGGGTGGTGTGAGAGAGGGTGGCAGCCTGATGGGCCGCCGCCCATGGGCGTCCTGCAGGGGAAAGGCAGCTAGGGAGCATCAGCAGAGGGCGGCGCGGGACACCCACAATATGCGTCCGCGCCTCCGCCGCTGCGTCGCCCGCGGCGCGGTCAAAGTCGCGGCGCTGCTGCTGGTCCAGTGCGGCACCCAGGCAGTCGTTGGCGGCGCTCAGTGTGCTGCCCTCGCTCTGCGCGGCGGCGGGAAGCATGGTGCTGCCGATGCCCAGCGACAGGGTCAGCAGCGACATCAGCGCCGACACCTCTGCGGGCAGGCGGGGGCAGCAGTCGCGCTGGTGAGGGCGTGTGGGGGCAGGAGGGCCCACCCGGCAGGTTGGGCAGGAGAAGGAAGCAGAGGGGAGAGGAAAGGACACCTGTGGCCTGGCGCGTCAACACGTACGCATCATCCACGTCGTGCTGGGGCCTGCGCAGCCGCTCCACCAGCCTGTGGACAGCCTGCGCCAGCGCCGCCACGCTGCGTGCCGACTGCACCTGGCCCTGCAGCTCCGCCGCAAACCGCAGCACCTGCAGGGCAGCGAGGGGCAGCGGGCAGGTCAGGGCAGGCCAGGGCGGGGCAGGCGGGTGCGTGAGGCGCAGGCTGGGCCCAGGGAAGCACGCCCCTGCCGCGGGCCATGCCCGGACCGCTGCCGCAGGCCCCCACCTCCTCACCGGGGGCCAGCTCGTCTTGTCGGGGTTGGAGCTGCACAGCCCCAGTGCAGCCACCAGATCCCACGCACGCGCCGACTCTGGGACGGTGAGCACGGCGTCCCGCACAGCCACCAGCTGAGCGGGGGAGGCTGCAGGCGGTGGATTGGGCCCCGGAGGCGGGCAGCGGCATGGCTCGAATTGGAAAGCAGGGCAGGGAGGCGGGGAGGCACGGGCGCCAGCAGGGCAGCACAGCATCGCGCCGGCACCGCCATGTCATGATGCCCCGCCTGTCTGGCTCAGCAGCTCCCACAGCTGCTCGCCCCGGTCGCCACCCGGCCCCGCCGCCTGCTCCGCCCGCCGGAACAGCTCGAGCGCCTGCTGCTCCTGCTCGCCCAGCTGCCCCTCCTGCACCAGCCCGGGGCCACGCGAGGCCGGGCAACTCGGCAGGCGGTCGGGCGTCGGCCGCGCGCGCAGCCGCGCCAGCAGCCTTCGGCTGCCCCTCCCCCAAGCCAACAAGCCCCAGGCAGCCACCCACCGGCTTGGAGGCGACGCGCGCCTCGTACAGCGCCCACAGGGCGGCCATGCAGGGCGGCTTCAGGGTCTGCAGGTTGGCCGCCGCCACCTCGTCGCCGCCGCGCGTTGGGCTGGCCTGGTCCAGCAGGTCCTGCAGCATCGCCTCGCTGCCCTCGTGTACTGCAGTGGAAGGGGCAGGGAGGCGGGGGTGTGGGCAGGGGCAGGGAGGCGGGGGTTGTGGGCAGGGGCAGATGCTGGCCAGAGGGTGAGAGACGGGGCAGGAGGGCAGGCACTGCGGGACTACCCGTGCTGGCAGCAAGGGTAGCCCAGCCTGAAGGAAGCGAGGCTCACCCTCCAGCTTGGCGGCGCTGGGCAGCGCGTGCACCGTGCGCCGCTGCAGGATTATGGAAAACACCAGCTTGGGCAGGAATTCCGTTGCCTGCGGGCGACGGCAGAGGGGCAATGGCGAGGCACACCCCAACCACCCTGGGCGCTGGGTGGGGAACCAGCTGTGTTGGGGCCAGGCTGTGGAAGGCGTACGCCCCCCTTGGCCAGCACACGCCGCACACCGCAAGGGCAGGGGGCAATGCAGGAGACGCCAGCAGCGCGGCGGCCTGCGCACAGCCGAGGCAGCGCCCCAGCCAGGCGCCCCAGCCAGGCGCCAGCACTCACCCAAATGTTCAGCCCAAAGCGGGACAGGAGCAGCGAGCCCGTCACCTGCGCGCGCACCATGCCCGCCGCCAGCTGGATGGCGGCGACATCTGGGTCCTCATCTGTCATCAGCGCATGCAGGCCCTCCACCTGCGGCGCAGAAGGCGGGGCGGGGGGGGGGGGGGGGGGGGGCAAGGGCAGAGGGCGGGGGTCGGGATGACACGGCGCAGGGCAGGGGAAGCCAGTCGCAGGCGCAGGCGGCAGCGCCCGCGCTCAGCACACATGCACCACCCCGCTCACCTTGGGCTGCAGGGCCCGCACCATCTGCACGGTGGCGCGCGCCACCACCTCCTGCACCAGCCGCGGCGCATCCTTCTCCGCAGTGAAGCCCCGCTGCAGCGGGTGTGCGGGAGGGGGAGGGGGTTGGGGCTGGCGGTTGGTGGCTAGGGCACGCCCTCCCTTGCATCTCCCGCACCACGCGTACCAGCCGGACAGCAGCAGCGGCAGCAGCAGCAGCAGCAAGCAGCACGCATCAGCAGGCCTGCTGCCGCTGCTGCTGCGCTTGCCTGGATGAGGATGGTGCATCCGGCGGTGCAGTACGCCAGCACCTCGTTCACGCCCATCTCAGCCAGCTGGGCGTGCACCTCACGAGGCAGGCGATCGCACGACAGGGCAGCGGAAGCCATCTTGCGGAGCGTGGCGGCCAGCACGGGCCGCGCCGCCTGCACATCGGCTTTCAGCGTTGCCCTCCAGGACTGCAGGCACCCAGTCGGGCAGCAGCAAGCGGCGAGGAGGGCGCGTCAGCCGCAGCCAGCACCGTGCCCAGGCGGCGGCGCCCCAGGCCGGGGCCCTGGCACCGCCTCACCTTGACCTCCTGCACCGAGTCGCCGTTGCCAGCCGCCCGCTCATCTGACAGCATGAGCAGCTGGCGCGCCTCGGCGGCAGTGGTGTTCAGGAGAACTGTGCCGATGGCAGGCAGATGGGCGGTCGCGTGGCGCGCCTCCACAGCCACGCGCACCTCCTGCACGGCAGGTGCACCAGGAAAGGCAGAGCCGTGCACGTCAGAACGGGCAGCCTGGTGTGCAGGGCGGCCCCGCAGATGAGCAGCAGCAGCAGCAGCAGCAGAGCCCCGCCAGGGCAGCGTGCTGCACCCAGCCGCTCGCACGCCCACCTGGCGGGCCTCGCCGCTCTTCAGGCTCAGGTCTTCCATCTTGCCCGGCACGCCCCCATGCTGCACGGACGACCGCCAGGCAGCAGTCCGCAGGCCCGTCAGCAGGCGACAACACACCGCCACCACCGCTCAGCAGGCAGCGGCAACGCGCAGCCCTGCGTGGCACCAGCCTGCGCGGCCCACTCACCAGGTGCTCCTGCAGCAGCCGCAGGTGGCGAGCGCAGGCGGGGGCCTCGTCCGCCTGCAGCGCCTGCACCGCCTCCAGCAGGTGCTGCACGGGAGAGCGGGCCTTCACGCCCAGCGATGCCAGGGCGCTGCGCCCGATGCCCTGCGGAGCCTGGCGGCACGGGCAAAACAGCGGCACGTCAGCTTCTGGCTGCGACGAGAAGGAGCCTCCATGCAGGGCAGGCGGCACACCCATGGGCAGCCCCGCCCACCCTGACCGCCACACCCCCGCCCAGCCGTGCCCCGCGCCCTCACCCACCCACCTGGTCCGCATTGGCCTGCAGCAGCTGCGCCAGCATCGCCACGGCGGCTGCCGAGACTTCGGCGTCTGGTGAGCGCAGCAGGGCCAGCAGCGCGCCGCCGCCTGCGCTGGCGTCGGCCATCCGGCTGGCGATGTGGCCAAACAGGGCGGGCACAGCCAGCACCATGCCCTGCACAGGCGCAGGCGGCAGGGGCGGGGCACCGAGCGTGTAATAAACGAGAGGTGTAGTAAAGGCACGGCAGATGCAACCCACAAAGGCAGCGCAAGGAGAGCGGCGCAGGAGCAGGGCCACCACACAGCGTGGCGCACACGCAGCAAGGGCAGGGGTCAGAGCAGCGGGGCGTGCGGACCTGCAGCAGGGTGGCCGCGCGGGCCGCCACGTCGCCGGCAGCGCTGGCGCCGTGCACGGCGCGCCCGTACGCCGCCAGCTCAGCCAGCGCAGCCGCCAGGCGCAGGGGCTCGTTGCCGGACTGGGGCCCCACGTGGCTCAGCAGGTCGGGGCGCCTGCTGCTGACCACGCCCAGGAGATCCAGAGCCTCCTGCGGGAGTGAGGAGTGGGGCAGAGGGGAGGTGTGCGGCAGGGACGCGGCCAGACGCCAACACACCAGGCGGGCCAGCGCCCCGTGGCCAGCAGAAGCAGGCAGGATGGTGCAGGCGCGGCACCGGCTGGCTGGCCGCTGAGCACCTGGAGCAGCGGGGGGTGCTCGGCCGTTTTCTGGCGGCGCGCGGGCCTGCCGGAGCCAGCCTCGCTGCGCTGGTGCTTGGCCGCGGCGGCCGCCGCCTGCACCTGCTCCAAGGGCAATCCCAGCACGAGATGCCTGCAGCCAGGCGTGCAGGGGGAGGGCAGCAGGAGCATGGAGGGGCAGCAGGAGGGTGGGCGGGGGCACTGCGCGGCCGAAGCAGGAGGGGCGGGTGTGCGGGCGTCGCCTTGGGCGGGAACGGCGGGAGCAGGGACAAGGTTGGGCTCGCAGGGGCGGGGCAAGCAGGGATGAGGAGGGGGCGTGGCCCGCAGGCACCCAAGGCCCCTCTCACATGCACTCTGCCGGAACAGTGAGGCCGGGCTCGCGGGCGAGCAGGTCGGCAACGCCGCGCATGGCGTCGGCCTTGGCGGCGGCGCCAGAGGTCTGGGTGGCGCAGGCCGACTGCTCCGCGTACCGCTCCCTCAGCCCTTCCAGCACCTGCGGGGTGCGTGCGGGGAGGTAACAGGGAGGGTGAGGGTGAGGGGTGGGGGGCCAAGGAGCAGGGCACGCAGGCGGCGTGCCACGCGGCGCGCGCCGCCCCTTGGACGGCGGGCGGCGGGAAACTGCCAGACGCACCTGCACACCCCGGACCAGGGGCAGTGCTTGGAGCTGGGGCTGCGCCACCTTGCCCTGCACAGCGGCCTGCACAGGCAGAGGGCAAGGGAGGCTTGTCAGGCAACCAGAAGAAGCAGGTGAGAGGTTGGCCCGCAGGCAGCCAAAGCAGCCCCAGTGCCCTGCAGGGAGCAGCTGCTGGCCATGGGTGCACCAGCCCAGGCAGGGGAGCAGGGCAGAGCTGCTGGGGAGGGCAGCCCCCACGAGAGCTGCACCAGGGGAGCACTTGCCTGCATCGAATGCATTGCTGTCTTGAGAACCTGTGGGCTGGGGGAGGCTGGGACCAAATATTATGGGGGAAGTGGGGCTGGGGAGGAGGGCTGCAGGGCTTTATGGGGACCGGTGCGCGAGGCGCTGCACGCTGCAACGTAACCCAGCGTGCCGTCGCCGCTTGGCTACTTCAAAAGATACATGTTACATCCAAGGCAGGGGTTCATGCAGTGCACAGAGGCTGCACACATCACACCCACTCCTCAGCTGGCGCTACGCAGCTGCGCCAGGCAAGGCCGTGTTCACTTGCAGCGCCAACGACGCCGCTCCTGCGAGCGGCAGGGGCGGGCGGACAAGCCGGATGGGCTGGGGCATGCTCTCGCTGCAGCGCCGCCCATGTGCCTGGCAGGATCAACTGTGCCCTGCTGCACATGCCCCGTCAACGATGTGGAGAGTGGGCAGTGCAACAGCGGCGCACCGCGGCGGCGCACGCAATGCCCTGCCTCGGTTGCAAGCTCGCCCCCAGCCTCCGCCAGCCCAAAGCTCACCCTGGCAGGGGGGTGAACAGGCTCTGCCAGCTCCCGAAACAACTCAGCAGCCGCCTCGTTTCATGCACAGCCTGAGGCCTGAATGCTAGGGAAGGGAGGGCGATCGGCGATGGCAGCCCCAGGCAGCGTCGGGAGGCGGCGCAGCGCAGGCCGTTTCTAGAGAGCAGCTTCCTGCCATCCTCGCGGGTGCAAAGCAGTGGCTGTGGCACAAGCAGCAGAGGCAGCAGCAGCAGCAGCAGCAGCCGCCAGAGCCTACCGCTGCCTGCAAAGTGCTCAATGCCCCCACAGTAGCAGCGCTGGCGGGCTGGGCTGTCATCAACCTCTATAGATGCCGCAGCCAAGGCTGCCTTTGCCATTTCCTGTCACCGTCCCCAACCCCGTCCATGCCGCTGCCACCAGCCATCTGCTGCCGCCTGCCGTGGCTGTGCCACCACAGGCTGGGCTAGCCGGCTGCTCGATTGCCTGCACGCCGCCACCCCGCCACAAACGCCAGCGGGCTTCGGGCGGACTCGTCAAGGGGATGGGATGTCACTCCCCCGCTGAGTAGAGCTGTGCTTTCTTTAGGAGCAGGGCTACCGCCGCCAGAGGCTGCAGCAGGCGTGGGGAGCTGCGGCAGCTTAATGGCGGCGGCGGCGGCGGCGGCACTTTGGCAGCGGCGGCACATTGGCAGCAGGCTGACGCCGGCGCGGATGCCAGCCCGCTGCTCATGCTGACGCCTTGACGGCCTTTGGGCCGCGAGAGCAGCACTGGGCCCCCACTGCATGTGATTGGCTTTCCCACCTGCGCAGGCAGCAGCTGGCGTGGTGGCCCTCAGTTTCGGCAACCTGCGGCTCCCAGAGTTCCGCTCGCAAGGAGAGACGTGTAGAGGTGGGGAGCGGGGAGGGCTGATCACTCGGTCACGAGTGTGAGGGGGGCAGCAAGGGACATCCAGCTTGTGCGGTGAATGCGGGGCGATCAGGGAAACCATACGAGAGGACGCCCCGCCCCCCCCCCAACCAGCCCGGTACCAACAGCGGCACCGGCTGGAGCGGCGGCGCCAGGACGTCAAATGGGCGCATTGGGCTGCCATCAATACACAGTTGTCTCACAACCGCTGTCTCACACATGAGGGCGCAGGGTCATGCATGACTGCAGGCCCATTCATCGCACCCAGTTCTGAACCCAGTTGTGTTTGCCGGCCAACCTGATCTGCCGCTCCGCCAGCATGCTGCGTTGCTCTATGCCACGACCAACAGACCATGTGGTGCAGAGCTGCAGGAGGTGAAGCGGAGGACTGGCTCTGTGGGCAGCACCGGCGTCTCCAAGATGTAAACCAGCACGGGGGGAGGTGGGACACCAGCCCGTCGACGGCGACGTCATATGCGAGGCGGCGATGTGCGGCAGCACACTCGTGGTCAATTTGCCTGTCAGTACCACCGTTTTCGTGGCGGCGTTTTTTTTGTCCATATGGCTAATAATAGCCAGGCTATAATCAGCCAGGATATAAAGCCACTGGTCCCCAGCTGTCGGCGCCTGCGCCGCCAGGTAAGCGTCTCAGGTGGCGGCCCATGCGGGGTGCTGCAAGCCCCTCTCCTTGTTTGTCGCCCATCGCCTGAAATCAAGATGGCGTGGCCGGGCATGCAGTTCTCGCCTGGCGGTAGGCTCACGCAGGAGAGCTTGGTGTCATACGAGGATGCGTTAATCGCGCAGACGCTGGGATGCATCGATGGTTTGCAGATGAAGGGAGAGCACCCAGCGGGCGGCTTTGACTGCACCCAGCGGGCGCGCCCTTTGTGTGTAGCTGGGAGATGGCCCACGCGCGCTGCGTGGGGCACCTGGCAAGGCATCGGCAACCTCCGTTTCAATTGCGATAGGCGAGGGCATTCCGCCACCACACCACGCCCATCCTGGCCTCGCACCAGCCCACACTGACGCCACCACTGCTGGTCCTCCCTGCCTGCTGCTCCTCCCTGCCTGCATCCTTCCTTCTTGCAGACCAGCCCCAGCGGCGGCTCGCCCGAGGTGCCGCCAACCGCGCTAGCGGAGGTGCCGCCAACAGAGGTGGTGGAGGTGCCGCCAACCGAGGTGGTGGATGTGGGGCCGCCCAGCAGCGGCAGGCGGCTCAGCAGCACCCACAGCAGCGGCAAGGAGAACGCCGCTGCAGCCGGGCTGGTGGACAAGTCCGCCGTCAGGGACCTGGGCGACCAGTTCCAGCGTGTGGGCCTGGGCCAGGACGCGCAGCAGCAGCAGCAGCGGCAGCAGCAGCGGCAGGCGCCTGTTGGTGGCCAGCCCACCGAGATGGCCAGCCTGCATGCTGCCGCCCGCAGCCCGCAGCCCGCAGCGAGCCTGCCGGCCAAGGGCGACTCAGGGCTGCTGAACGCTCTGCAGCAGCTGCAGCTGCGCTGCTCTGCTGCGTGTGCGGCAGCAGAGGGGGCCGGCCCGTGTGAGGTGCGAGGCAGCCCTGAGGGACGCAGCAGCCAGCAGCATGTGGCGCCCGTGGCGGTGCGCGAGTGTGGCCCGCGCCTTCAGCCTGCATACCCTGGCCTTCACAGAACTGCTGCTTACGGCCCTTATGCACAGCTGCCGCACGATTTTGCGCGCCTGCGCATTTGCAGCGGCGTGCAGGAGGAGGTGAGGAGATGGTGGGTTGCCTGGGCTGTCGAGGCGTATGCTGCCGGCACTGGCGCCAGATGTTCCAAGGATGCGCCCTGCTGTTGTCAGGGCTGCCGGCCTGCATGTGCTGGGATGGGTGCAGCGCCAGCCGCTTACAGCAGGCCCGCGCGGTGTGTGTGCCCTTTGCCGTGCAGGCCGGCCAGTCTGGTTTCTTGGAGATGCTTCCCTCGCCGCCGCTGAGGCAGCAACGGCTGGAGCAGCAGCAGCAGCCTGCACCCGCGCAGCCTTTCCATGTGAGGGCGGTGCTTCTGTGTCCCGCGGCTCTGTGCACGTTGCATGCTTGGGGCCCTGCACCGGTAGGTAGCTGCTCGCCCTTCCCAGCGGAAGCGTCCGCATGCTCATGGCTGCAGGCTTTTGCCGGCCAGGAGCTCAGCTCGATTGCCCCGCGCAGCGTGGAGCCCTTCACCCTCAGCCAAGCGCACAGCGGCTTCAACCGGGCGTTTGTGGAGTTTGGCGAGCGGGTCGTGAAGCCTGGCAGGGACGAGTGTGCGGCGCGCAGGGAGAAGGGGCAGCGGCCGCTGTTTTACAGCCAGAAGAACCAGCTGGCCGGCTTGGTGGGTGGGGTGGTGCCTACTTGTGTGGCCGCTGTGGAGTGATGCGGTACGGCAGTACTGCAGGAATGTGCAGCGCGCTCCCAGCGTCTCCCAAGGCCACATGGCCTGCCTTGCCGCCGCGGGCCCGACGGCCCCATCCTGCACCACTGCAGGCATTGGCGTTCAAGGAGGCGGCTTCCCGCGTGGCGTCTGTGGTGGGGGGCTGGAGCCTGGTGGACACTGCCGTGTACGGCGCGAGGCTGCCACGCCAGGCAGCAGCGGCAGCGGCAGCGGCAGGCCCAGCGGCAGGGTTTGCAGCAGAGCGGCGGGTGGACACGCCTGATCTGCTGCTGTGCGTGCAGCCGCAAGCTAACAGCGCCTTCATGACGATGCAACTTGGGTGGGTGTGGGCAGCAGCTGGCAGCCGCTGCCATCTCCCCGCACGTGTGGGGCTGACAGCAGCGTGAGCTGGGTGCGGGTTGAGCGACTCCTTGCCATCTGGTGCAGGGCGGAGCCATCACTCATCCAGGAGGGGTTCCGCAGCTTCAGGCAGCTGCAGCCAGACGCCTTCACCACGGGCAAGCAGGGCATGCGCAGCATGGCGGACGCGCTGCGCGACCCCGCCAGCGGCGTGCAGTGGTGGTGGGCGCCAAAGGTGGTTGACGCTGCGGGCTGCATCGAGCTGGAGCGGCTGCAGTGGCGGCCGCTGAGCCTGGACGCCACGCAGCAGCAGCAGCAGCAGCAGCAGGGGCAGGGGCAGGGGCAGGCTCGGGAGCTTGGCGCCTACCAGCAGGAGACGGCGGGCCGCGGGGGCAGCCAGGGGGCAGGCCAGGGCGGCAGCCAGCTGGCGTCTGCACACCCCCCAGCCCCTGCTGCTGACACCTGCGCAGACGCCGGACCACACACGTTTGAGCAAGACGGCGGGGAGCAGGTGAGCGGTGCAAGAGGCTGGCCAGGTGCAGCCAAACCCTGTTGTGGCGCCGCACGCATCCACCGCACCGTGCGGCGCCCACCGCGCCGTCAACACCTGGATGCTGCCTCAATCATTTCCTTGTCTGCCTTGTCTGCCCTCAGAGCTCTGCGGTGTGCTGCCGAGTGACGTCCAAGGACCCCGTCTTCTCCGCCGCTGTGCGGGGAGCAGCAGCCCCGGGAGTCCAGGAGGCACAGCAGCTGAAGCAGGGCGGCCAGCCGCCAGTCACCGTCACCGCGCTGCACGTGGAGGCGTTTGTGAGCCTGCCGGTGCCTGCCTGCCTGCCTGCTGCTGGGCTGATGGATCGGTGTGTCTGCTTGGCCGCCAATCACTGATGCCCGATGATGCCTTGCCCTGCTGTGCCCCTGCTGCTGCCTTCAGGCGTGCGCGGTGCGTGAGGTCCTTGGGCTTTGGGCTATGCAGTGGGGGCAGGCCGCAGGCGTGGGCAACACCATCACCGACGCCGGGCGCCGCCGGGCGGAGATGGCTGCGCAGCGGGAGGCGGCGGGCCTCGTGCTGGCCTGCAGCGCGTGCCCCTTTGGCCTGCCTGACGGCGATATGGCAGCAGGCAGCAGGCAGCAGCCGCATTCGGACCTTTCACAGGTGTTCTGGACCTTCCATGTCCTGGCGGTGGGCCGCGAGGGCGCCGCCAACTGGCGACAGTGCGCCAGCATCGAGATGCTGATCAGGTTGGAGGGTGGGGGGGGTGGCTGTGCTGCGCATGCGGGCGCCTGCAGCCGTGCGCTTCAGCTCCTGCCGCCAACTGCTGGCCTGGGGGCGGTGTGCTGCAGGGAGAAGCCGGCAGACACGCAGCGGCGCGGAGTGTTCCGCCGCCTGCGCCAGGCACGCCCCGACGCCTTCTCGCCCAAGGGCGGGCCGGCCGCCAAGCTGGCCACCGTGGATGCGCTGCTGGACCCCGCTGCCGGCATCCACTGGGGTTGGGCGAAGCCCAGCCACGGCCAGGGGGTGGGCAGCTCGGGCGCCTTGGCGGACTACACCTGGCGGCCGCTGGTCGCGGGGTGAGGCCCGCCGGATGGTCCCACTTGGCAGGCGCCAAACAGCTGGAGGGGCGAGCGCAGCAGACACAGGTAGCCGTTTTGCAGCCTGGGCTCTTTGAACGAATACATCACACTTTTTGGAATACATCATACATGTATCGTTCTGGCCTACGCGCC